CATGAAGTGATCTTGCTTCTTCTCATCAGTATCCACCTCGCTAGGGGCATAACGTGACAAATGAATGAATTTATCTCGATACCACAGACAGACATGGATCCTTGCTTTAAACTCAAAAACTCCTTTTTCAACTTGATTAATCCTGCTGGCATATGGTGTGATCTAAAGCTATCCTTAAACTCCTACCAGGTGATATTAGCTGGAGTTGCATGAGAGCAGGTGTAGAAGTCCCACCAATCCAATGCTGCTCCCTGAAGCTGTCCAGAAGCAAATAAGACCTTCTCTCTATCATTGCACTGAGCGATCTCTAGATGCCTCTCCACTGATTTGAGCCAATCATCAGCTTCTATAGGCTCAGAACAATGATAAAAAATAGGCGGACCACCCTTCATAAACTCTCCATGCCTATCGCTAGGTGGAGTTTGCATCTGCTGAGCTTGAGCTTGCTGGAAAGAGGTCATTGTCTGAACTATTCCTTGCAAAATCTGAGTCTGCATAGCCACCATCTTCTCCATTGTCACAGCGGCCGGAGGAGGTGGTGGGTTCTTGTTGGCAGTGTTATTACCTATGCCTCCAGTGTTGCTCCTTGTGTTAACCATCTATTTGGGTGAAAAGAGGATGATCATGGAAAGGGTATGAGCAAGATATAACGTGTGAAAATAAGGTATATAATGCAAGATATCATAGCATGGTATAAAAAAATAAATACAAAGAACAAGAATACAAGATAACATGATTCAGATAATAAGATTAAAACCCCTAACTAATGACTCCCTCCATTCCAAATTATAAAGACGTTTTGGTTTTTCTAGATACGCAGCTTTTGCTATACATTTAGATATACACTATGTCTAGATTAGAAAAAAAACCAAAACGTCTTATAATTTCGAATAGAGGGAATAGCACTTAAACTAAGAAAAATAACTTTTGTAGTCATGGATAACAACCTACAATACATCACACACATTACAAAGATGCAGCTCATGCATAAACACAATAACAAACACGCAAGCAAGCCTAAACTAGTTACTAAACGCGTTTGAAACTAATCAGCTTCAGCCGGCTTATCGGTTAGAATCTATAGTATTTTTCTCTCACAACAAATCAGCTTCAATTGGCTTTAATACCAAATTAACAGGCCCTAAGTGTTTTTTTTAGACTACATGGTGAAAAAGAATCCTAGAATTTGTCCGATAAGTTGTAGCCATCTTTAGGATACATAAGAGTGAGGTAAGAGACAGTCCTAAAAGCATAAATATTGAGGCAAGGAATAAACACAGGAGCAATGAATTAACAAGCAACAAGCGGGGATAAAAAACAAGGATAAGGATATAGTATAACAGAAAATGGCAAAAGTTTCTAAGAATAGAACCAAGTGCTGATTATATGTGCACCAGGATCAGTTTTACACCCATGTAATGACATCATTAGTGAATAATATAAATATTGCTTTAAATAAAAGAATTTAATTATTACAAAGTTCACTCAAAGTCATTAACAAAAACAATTCAAACATATCACAAGCTAACTCGTAGTGGAACATCTAATCTTCCACTCAAAGTCATTAACAAAAACAATTCAAACCTATCACAAACTAACTCGTAGTGGAACATCTAATCTTCCCCAGGCAGCTTACTATGGAACACATATGCCTAGACTCCTGATAGTTCTCTAGAAACTCCTTAAATTCTCTATCTAAGTACCCATGCGGTATTTTTCCAAAACAATAATAAAGCAAGCGTGAATATCATCGTACTGAGCGTGCGTAGGGAATAAATGATACGCACAGGCTTAAAACAAGGAACAGCTAACACTGGTTATACTGCAGTAAGCTTTTAAGTCGGTACATTTCATTAACAACTTGTTTACTAATAAAGTATGTTATCCCAGAACCATTAGCAGATTACATATAAATAAGTTAAATAACATAAATTAAGCATGTATGAAACATAGCATAAAAATTAACAATATAAATATAACATGCGAGATCCAGGTCGCTCTTAACCATGAGAACTAGTATATTAGTTTCAGACACTCTTCAAAGGATGCCGATTTTTATCCACATGATGTGATACTAGTTTGCCTAAGGTGGACATCCTCTTAAACACTTCCAAAGTGAGTAGGCAAGATTTCACTACGAGGCCTTTCCAAAGGGTCCTTCCAAGCGTATTAGTTTATAGAGCACACACTGTAGAAGCAATCTCCCATACCTAGGATTAGGCAAGCGTAGGAGAAAACTCCTATATCCATGTTAGTATTAAACTAATGTCCACACAAGGATCCTCTAATTAATTAGCTAAGACTAATGATTAGTTCGTGTGGTTGCAATGTTTTCTTGGATGTTCACTCCATGTTCCAATTAAATTCATTATAGGCTATCACCATCAATTCCATATACAATGATAAGGTGGGTTCCAAAACTTGTCCAACCAAAATCATGGCAAGCCAAAACTTAGGCTTCCCAAAATCAGGGCTTGCCAAAGTTAGGAAAAAATGTAGGAATACATTTGGTTGAGTGCCATGACATAGTAGTGAGCACTTTTTTCTCTTATGAGATTGAGGAAGTTTCTAGTTGCTTTGACATCATTTTGGCCGTACAAATTGGTGTGCCAATTTTTTTGTTAATAAGCCAATCAATAGCCAAAACTTGTAGGCATGCCTTAATTTTGGTTGGGCAAGTTTTGGCTCCCAACCAATCAGGCCCTACGTTCATATACCCGAGCTAACAAGGAAAATTGTACAACCTATGAAGTCCTTATGAGGTTTGACACGTGCATGCAGTATGTAATCAATGATAAATGAGATATCAAAATGATCAAGGACACTTGCCTTTTATAATGTTTTTTTTGTTACTGCTTAGAGTCTTGAAAATCTTGCTCTTGAATGTTCAGCACTTGCTCTCCTAAACGTAGCGAACAATGATCACATAAGCATATATATGTAGATACAAACAAACAGATGAAGATAAATAAAATAGTACACCGCAATAGAAACAGAATGGAAAAAGGAGTACTAAAATGTCCAATGGAAACAGAATGGAAAAGGAATACTAAAATGTCGATGCAATGTTTTCTTGGATGTTCATTCCATGTTCCAATTAAATTCATTAACGGGTATCACCATCAATTCCATATACAATAATAAGGTGTATCAACAATTTATAAGATCATCATATATCGTAAATAAAAGGTAAAGCAACTAAGCATTTACTACCCTTCATATACCCCAGCTAACAAGGGAGATTGTACATCCTATGAAGTCCTTATGAGTAATGACACATATATGCAGTATGTATCAATGATAAATGGGATATCAAAACGATAAGGACGCTTGCCTTCTATAATGTTTTGTTGTTGCTGCGTCTTGAAAATCTTGCTCTTGAATGTTCACCACTTGCTCTCCTTCTAAATGTAGCGAACAACGGTCACATGATCATATATATGTAGATACAAACAAACAAATGAAGATAAATAAAATACTACACCAAGCAATAGAAACAAAGGCCCTATTCGCTTGTCTTATGAGTCGTACTATTTCAGCAAACAAACAACGTTTTTCTCTCAAAATAAATCAGCGAACGGTACTTTCAGCCATGACTTTTCAGCAAAGCGAACAGAGCCAAAATAGAAAAGGAATACTAAAATGTATAACATGTCGCTACTGTGGTGTGAAGAACGCAAGAATCATTACAACCGGATTTATGGCTTGAAAGGTATAAATATTCCAAGGTATATATATTTAGCATGGTAAGAAGGTATTTTCGAATTAAAGCAAAACTAACATGTACACCGTGCAAATTAATAGTTTAGTTAATCATCAGGCAAGGAAGAAGTGAGTAGGCGCTCCGCGCTCACCATTCACCAGACGGTAGATGCCGGAAGCAGATGGCAGCGACGAGAACCCGCCCAGCCCTTGACGGCAGATCGAGTTGTTCCAGTGAAGAAAATCACCGGCGGCAGGCGGCAGGCGGCAGCACGACTTCGGCTCAAGTATAATGCAGCTGCAGATCGTCGGCGGAGGAACAGTGCTGACGGACGAGATCGACGTCGACGGCGGTCACGAGCTCGGCCAACGATGGTGCAAAGGCAGGGTACGGGGCGGGGCGGCGGGTTGGGGCAGACGAGGCGCGCGACGACCCGACGGGGTTCCTAGTGGTGGCGGCTGCCTCTGATGGACCTATATATATATAAGACTATCTCAACACCGCCACCTAAAATATCACAGACCCATTTGATTTTCGGGTAGCATTATACTTAAAGGTTTAATACTCATTCGTTATTTTCTCCAACAACGAGACTAAAAGATATTTCTTTCTGCAAATAAGTTTCCAAAAATTAAAATACTCATATTTAAATGGTGTCTATCAGATAACCCAAAATGGATCGTCCAAAATGGATCGTCTAATACCTGGGCATGGGGGCAAGGGTGTTAAGGCCCACATTGGGGGAATTAGGCCCATGGAAGTATGACGGTGATCTGATTTCCAATTCCGTCTACTCGTAAAAGGAGTTTCCAACATGCAATACTGCTGAGATATCATACACGACCAATGGTTTTAATTATAAATCATATATATATTCATGGTTAGAACTCTACGCTTGGCTATGTCCGATTTTCTTTCTATGTTATCATGCTATACTCCAGCACTCTATTTGCCCCGGGCACTGCCGTTCCGGTCGGAATGTACAAACGATGGAATTCAGATATTGAGAGGATCAGTCGCAAATCTGAGACAATTTAATCCTTACAATATCATGTTGCATCAATGAATCACGAAAAATCCTCTTTGTAAGAACAAAAAGTCGACCACGGCGGGTAGAAACACAAACTTGTCGCAATACCAACACCCCATGTCAGCAGCAGGGAAGAACAGCACGTTTGGGGATCTAACTCCAGCTTGAACGAAATGGTACTATCCTATTACCTGCTTCGCACGCTCCAGAAAAGCATCAAAATTTCTGGACCTGTTCTTGTTGATTCACAGATTAAGCTCCATCCACCTATTCTGCATCGCCGCCATCAAAACCATCATCTTCAACATCTTCAACCTTTTGAGGTGCCACACTATCTTCAACAATTGTAGGGTCATCATCTCTAGACACTTCAGGGCCTGGTCCTGCAGACATTTCAGGACCTGGTCCTGCAGACACCTTGACCATTGCTGGGCGAAGTAATCTTTCCCCGAGTTTGAAACCTTTTCGGAATTCCTGGAGAATGATCCCCTCTTCGTACTTTGATGACTCTTCTCTCATAATAGCCTCATGAAGCTGAAACACAAGGTGCAATAAGGAATCATTTTAAAAGAAAAAAATATCCTTGCAAATGCTCAGATGTGGACAACTATAAAGATTTAGCATTTCTGTTGCAGAAGTCAAATAGTCAATAGACTCTACCACCTGATTACACTGAAATACTAAAAATGTAAGAGTAGATATGTAGTGTAGCAACAAAACTTTAAGTGGACTATGCAAATCTCAGGATTTAATCTAGATGATGTTTTGCTAAGACTAGCTTACCATAGGATCAAATGGTTTGCCTACAGTTTCAACATCTTCAACGCCCAGTGAATTCAGAATCTCGATAAATTGCTTATAAATGCTCTGGTAGCTATTATTTATTTTCTCCTCTCCCTCTGTTTCCACCTTTATTTGCATTTTTGCTCTTTCAAAGTTGTCGAGAACAGGCAAAAAGCTCTCTATAAGTTCCCCTTGAACATTTTCCATCATGTTAAGCTTCTCATTTTCTGTCCTTTTCCTGAAATTGTCAAAATCAGCACTGATCCTCAAGATACGTTCTCGTTGAGTTGCTAGCTCGGCATTTAGAGCAGTGATTTTGTTCAAAAGAGAGTTTTTCTCATCCTCGATGGCAAGTAAAAAGGACTCTATCTCAGCAGCTTTTGCTTCATCATCATTAATCAGTGCTTCTCTGTATGACTGCAGTGTTGTCACAATAATAGATGGAGTTTCATCTGTGCTTCCAGCACCATCATCTGCAGCACTATCTCCAGTAACTTCGGTTTCTGAATCCTCCTGCAGCATAGAAAAATAACATCATACAAAAAAGCCCAAGCATCCAATAGACAGATTATCTGTACATCGACGTGGATAGAATTGCAACAAAACGAACTTCTTCGGCTTTTAAACAAGCATTCAAAGGAAAGCAAGATATTGTTGCACTATTGCCATCTTTAGAGAAAATTCCAACCTAACATAATAAAACATTTTCCTTTAAATTATTATGTTGGTGTCATGTAATCTGCAGAAAGATTGCATCCCTGCACTGCAATTTAACTATTGTGAAGGTGTTACACAAATCAGTGCCATATTGTATCTAAAGCTAGAATGAAGGCTTTGATATATAACTTTTCAAATCCAACAGCCTCTAACAAAATTCCAATATAATAGCATAATAGCATTTATAGTGAAATGCAACAAATCAATGTCCTCAACCAACAAGATTGTGCATTTTGCTATACTTCAAGGATCAAACAGGAGACTAGCATCTTCATGAATTAGCACAAGTGCACAGGCATGCAACTGGGTACTGCTATTGCTGTCACACCATCAGAGTGGCAGCATCACATGGAAGTGTTTTTACAAGTACAGATAAGTTCCACTAAATAAAGATGCACCACCGGTGTGACTACCCTACTTATCCAAGGTTCTCCAATAGCTTTCCATAAAAGTGCAGCACCCCGTTTTTCTAACAGATAGCTAATGCTTCCAAATTAGTGAAACTTTGGGCAGTCATTACTTACAGAAGTCCTATCCAATACTCGCTCTAATATTGATCAAACTTCAAAATAAAATTACATTAGACTATAGCAAGTACAAGTTATGAAGCCAACAAGCTTATATTGAAAATGAATGATAAGTTAGCACACGAATTTAAGAATGTCTCCCAGCGAAAAAATAACTATCATGGACAACAAGGCTATATAATTTAAGTATCACAACTGTCCTACATTGCTAAATCTCGATCTTGATCTTCTTGAGGACCACCTAAAAATCACTAATCATGACTAACCAAGATCTGTTTAGGGGATGCTTAAGAAGGCAAAGCAGAAATCTTCATACCAGAAAATGATTTATGAAACAACATATTGAAAAATTCTTAACTGGTCATAGCAAACAACTCAAGAATGAAGGTCCAGCTGCTTATTCCCCAAAATTACAGCACTTATGTATGATGTATCCCCAGCCATATAATCAAAATATAGCGAAAAGAAGCAGTAGCTTCGACACAAATTGTGTACCTACCTATCCTAACAAGTAAGGGCAAATAGTTCGTCCTCAGAAGTCAATGCAAAGCAGTTGCAGATCATTACATAGACAAACCTGGTGTTTAGAGAATGAACAATATGTCACCTCCGGTTAATATTTTTCTACTTCAAATTTTCCTTAGACGCTAACGATATCAGGAATCTGACAGCTATTCTAAACAATTGAAGCAACCACCCGTCCATTGGATACAAAGGAACGACAGAGTTTACGAGCTACGGCCACCAGAACACCCACCCTCACCTGCGTCGCCGTTTGCGCAGCCTCGTCGGCCTCGGTGGCGGCCAGGCGCCGGAGCCTGCACCCGTCGCGACAGAAGACGTGCGGAGTCGGCAGCAGCCACGCCCGGAGCGGTCGGGCCGGCGCGCGCCGGGAGCAGGCGAGCCGCAGGCACCGCCCACGCGGCTCCCGTGCGGACAGCGGCGACGAGGGCGGGGGCGCGAGGGCCGCGGCCGTGCGGAGTAAGGCAGCCATGGGCGCGCGGACACCGGTGGGGGGCGCGGAGAGGGCAGAGGGGTTTTGTTTGCGCTAGCTATCGGATGCGGCCTGCGGGAGAGGAGAACAGCGGGGGAGGTACGGGATAACCCTCGCCTTCAGATGGATGGATGGATGGATGCGAAATTGGGAATGGATCGAGAATTCGAGATGGCTCCTTCCTTGCTTTTGGGTTTTCTGGAAGAGGAGTGGAGAGACTCTCGAGCACTCTCGAGTCTCGGCGTAAGGAACCCACGGCAATAATTTAGACATTAGATTCAGAAGAAGTAGGCTAAATTTCAACAAGAATTAAAAAAAGGCAATCTGAGAACCCTATATTTATGCTACTCACTCCATCCTAAAATATAATGTATTTTCATTTATTCTAAGTTCACCTATCTTAAATTAACTAAATTTATATAAAAAAGGAACAATAATATTGTTAACATCATTATGAAATGCATTTTTATAACTTACCTTTTTGACGTGTAGTTAATATGTTTCCTAACCCAAACATGCTTACAAGGCCTAACTTAGTTCAAACTGTGACACAACACGTAGTTTTATTCACAAAGAATGTTCCATGATGAATCTAGAGCTGGGCCAGAGCCAAAACAAAGCTATCGCTTTTAGCTTTCTAACGCATCCAAAATCACCTTAATTAGACTCCATATAAGTTATCATCGATTCAGTGTATGGTTGTCTGCTGATTCCAAGACAAATTCTAACTCCGAGTTAAAATTTACTGGAGCTCCACATGACTTGACACGTTTATAGGCAACACTCCCATATTCTTTAGGATCAAAATATCACAAGAATTCAATAGCATACCATCCTTAGAAACAGCATTATAAAAAGAGAGTAACGAATTCACCCGATGACTAGCGACGTGCACGAGCTCGAGTAATTGGTCATTGTAAAGTATCTGTGTCTACAACAATGATGTCCGCATCACGTCGCCTTTCTTCTTCACTTGCACTATCCACTCGACTAGCTTTTCTTGGAAGTAGTTGAAAGGACCGAGGATGCCGCCTAGAGAGGAGTGAATAGGCGTTCCTAAAAATTCAACCTTTCAAAATACGAAAACGATTAGTGTAGAAATTTATGATGTCTCGGAATTCCCAAATCAGATAAATAAATCCATCACGAGTCAACCACTGAGTATCTAACAAGTACTACATATGTCTAAGAGCCACAAGCCTGCAACACAAGAGTTAGAACTGAGAATGAATCAAATCAGCACAAGGCCCAAATACCGGACACGTCCGGTATTCACGGGTTTGCTGGATCAGCTCCCGATTTCCTCCGATTGACTTCTGTTTTCAAAACCACACTAGAAAAGGAGTTAGTAACTAAGGCATGCTCAATTGATAATTTTTTTATACCTTTCATTTAATACTTTTAGTTCTTCCAACTTGGAGATGAGAAACTTTTCTTGCTTTTGAAGTGATTGTTCTGGTTTCTCATTCTCTTCTTCAGGCTCATCATTCTTTTCAACTATCTTCATGATGATGAACTTGTCTTTGCGGTTGAGATGATCAAGGTTATAGTTGTCTTCAACTTCAACATCACTCTTATCTTAATCATCCACTTGTGCTTTCTCCTTTTCTTGATCTTTCTTGTTACTCTTCTTCTTGCTTTTCTTGGACATGAGACACAAGTGATGAGAATCATTAGATACTGAGGTTGACTCATCATTTCGCCACCATCGAACTTGATCATTGTCGCAGAAACCAACTTGATGTCTTACTGCTTCACCAATACCGGACACGTCCGGTATGTGCAACCAGCCAACACTGCATCTGCGGCTTGCATGTCTTGCTCCGGCTCGATGCTTTGCTGGTTTCTTGAGGCTTCTTCACTGCATGAAGATTCAATGGACATGTTTTCCATTGACTCAAGCTCATATGCATCATCGTATTTGGATTTTCCATATAACTCAACAAGTCTAGTCCAAATGAGATGAGCACTCTCCGGAGGTGGTTGTCCATTGAAAATAGCCTCATCTAGAACCTCTGCACTCAATGTACTCAACATGACATTAATTGCTTGAGCATTGAGTTGCACGCATATCTCATCCTCTTTTGGAATATTTTTGTAGTTGCTCCACTCAACTACCGGAAGAGGTATGCTTACATCCATAATTGCTCAACAAGAGGACTAATAGCCCTAAAAGCATTGGGTACGTGAATTGACCAAGGTAGAAAGTTTGAACCATCATTTTAGAGAAGCATCGGCTCCGACTCGTTAGACGTTGGCATCCTTTTTCTCACGGCGGTGAGGCTTTTAGTGAGTCATTGCTCCGATACCAATTGAAAGGACCGAGTATGCCGTCTAAAGGGGGGTAAATAGACGTTTCTAAAAATTTAACCTTTCAAAATGCGAAAACGATTAGTGTAGTATTTCCAATGTCTCGGAATTCCCAAATCGGATAAATAAACCCCTCATGAGTGAACCACTGAGTATCTAACAAGTACTAAATATGTCTACGAGCCACAAGCCTGTAACACAAGAGTTAGAACTGAGAATGAATAAAATCAGCATAAGGCTCAAATACCGGACACGTCTGGTATTGACACCAGACACGTTCGGTATTCACGGGTTTGCTGGATCAGCTTCCAATTTCCTCCGATTGACTTCTCTTTTCAAAACCACATTGCTGGCACCTACTAGTGACCTGTCAACAAGCTCAAGCAACACACATAGATCACAAATGCCAAGTGAAAAGAGAGATCGAGACACAAGAATTGTTTTACCGAAGTTCGGTCTTCGTCGAGACCTACTCTCCGTTGAGGGGGTTACGAGCGACCCAACAAAGGCCAGCTCTAGAGGACCACGAAAGCCACTCTAGCCGAAGTCTTTTCCAACTCCTTTTTCGCCTTCCACTAGACGATTCCTTTCCTTGCGACGGTGGAATCGAACTATCACAAACTTTCTGAGGCACACTGCAAGCACTTGGGTGCTCTCCGACGACACCTAGCCGTCTAGGACCAAAGAGTCCAAGAGTAACAAATGCAAATCACGAGATCGACAAGTATGCACAAGTGCTCAAGGGTGGCTTACTCTCAATTTGAATCTCACTCAACCCACAAGATGGATTTTGTAAGTTTGAATCAATCACTCACTAAGAGAGGGTTAGAGAGTGTTCTCAAGGCTCAAAAATATGTGAGAATTTCAGCAGAATCAGCAGTCTCTAAAAGTGGAGGCTAAGGGGTATTTATAGCCCCTTTGAAAAACTAGTCGTTAACTAGCCGTTGGGAAATACCGGACACGTCCGGTATCAATAGCCTATACAGCACCAACGGTCACTAAGTCAGCAGCGCATGTGAGGCGGCGGAACTCCCAACGATTGCCGGAACTCCCGACCGCCAGAACTGTAACACCCTCGGTGTTACGCCCTAAACAAATTACCAAACCATGTTATGAGCATCATGTTTATGTGAGAATGCATGTGATGGAATGCGTGGATAAAATTTTTGTAACTTAAGATGATCAATAAAAATGTTAAATGAGAAGCTATGCCATAACTCGTGTATATCAAGTAGGGTTTAAAACTAATTTTTATTGAACAAAAATGCTATAGAACATATATATGGCACTTAAATAAAGTTTAGAATATGAACTTTGTAGATGACAATAAAATCCTTGCTGTAGAAAAATAACATTGCTAGCTAATATTTTTAATAGCCTAGAAATGCAATTTGGAATCAAATTCAGCTCAAAAATTTAGAATATTTTTCAAGTATGTTGACAGCTAGACAATGCCATGTTTGGGAATTCATTTTGGGAGATTGAGTTAAGGGGTGGTGTCATGTCTTAGCTCAGGTTGGTAGCCTGATATGCCCTTTGGAGCATGGCGAAGATAGTTTAGGTTCCAGAGCAACCGTTTAGTTTTTATAGGTGCTTTAAAATTCGTGCAAGACAGGATTTTGGGCTAGTTCACCGGGGGAGCGTGGTCACCACGCCTCGGGGGCGCGACGTCGCCACGCCGGCTCGCTCTGCGCGCGCACACGCGCTGCCGCGTGTGTCCGGCTGCGACTGCCCTGGCCTGGCCGCCAATGGCTCTGTCGCGTGGAGCCACTGCTCCTGCTCGCACGGCGGGGCGGCGCTGTAACCTTCCTTGCCCACCGACCCGCCTCGTGCTGTGATGCAGCCGCTATCGGTGTCGTCGCATCACCATCGTGTCCGCGCTTGTCCCCTATGCCTATACCCCGCTCCTGGTCCAGTTATATGTCGTGCGCACGTGGCTGAGCTCGCCGTCGTCTTGCCATTGGGCCTATTCGGCTCGTATTAAAGCCGGCTGATAAGCCAGCTGAAGTTGTTTTGTTGTGAGAGAAAAATACTGTAGATTCTAGCTAATAAGCCAGCTGATAAGTTCAAGCGAACAGGCCCAATGGCACTGCGTCCACGCGGGCCATGCCGGTCGATGGACGCACACGCCTATCCCATTGCGTCCATGTGCATAACACCTAGATCACGCCGACCATGTCCCGCCAAGGTGAGACCGAGACAAACCCACTTGCCGCCTCATCTCTCTCTCTCTCCCTCTGCTGTCTCCGTCGAGCCACACCATCAAATTGGGCATCGAGTGATCACTTCCATTTAATTCAGCACGTCTATGGCTTCACCATCAAGTTCTCTTACTGCCCGACCCCACCCAGCCATGAAGAGGGCACTGCCAAGCTCCAATTTGGCGCTTTTCCCGCCGCCGTGCCGATAAGGCCGCGCCCGGCCCTGGACGAGGGTAGCCCTCCTACCATCCCTTCAGAGCTAATTCACTTACACCACTAGCTTTGCCTTACCTCCCTCTCCACCTTGCGCATACCAGTAGAACCGCTATCGCCTCCCCGTCGCCGTTGACGCGACCACGCCACCACGGTGCGCCACCGCACAGCTCGACCGCACGTGGCCACACCTCCTCCACCATCCTCTACCCCAATCGTCACCTCGGATAGGTCCACGATAGTCTACTGATGCTCCCTCGCTAGCCAGTTAGGTTC